TTCATGAGGGTGGTGTTGTTATTGCTTAACGCTTTGGCCAACCCACATCTAACGATAGAGCGGTTGGACGATGAGTGAGAGTTTTTATCAACCTTCTCCCAGATGGCAGTCAAAGAGACCAGTGGGTCTAGTAGCCCTTGGTTCCACCGCCTTATCAAAAAACTTATCAAAGCCGGCCATTTAAAGGCTGGCAACACACGTTTAACTCAACCTGCTTCTCTGTTGAAGAATATAATCCTCCAGGCGATAAAAGATAACACTCCTCTGACTGCAGGAAGAACCGACAAATTCTACTCCTCCTGGCTTAAGTCAAGCACGCGCAAACTAATACTGCGTAAACGGTCATCTTGGAATCTATGGAAGTGCACTGATTGCCCTTTTGAATGGCCAGATTATAAGAGCATCCGTAGCAGATGTACAATAAGAGTCGGAAATGATAGAATAAACCACCAGACACAACTTTGTAGAACCCTGGAGGGGAATCATAGGATACTGCACTCGCTGATGAAACGGAAGAGCGACAGTTCACTTGGTTTACTGGACACCATTGGTTTACAGATGCTCACTTCTAACCCCGAAGTAGCAAACCTACTAGCTCATGAATTCCGAAACGACTTCCGTCATTTGGGAAGTGAGACCATGCATCTGTCAGACATCCGTATTACAGAGGGACTAAACCATACAGAGTTTGAGCCCTTCGTAATTATGGAAATATTAAAGAAGCCGAACCCGAATAAGTCTCCGGAAATTGATGGGATTCACACAAGAGTACTTAAAGAGTGTGCTGAATTTCTGTGCGCCCCACCAGCAAACCTCTCTAAGTGCTCGTTTCTGGAAGGCAGGTTACCCTCTGGTTGAAAACGAGTGGCTGTCGTCCCATTTTATAAGGGTCGAAACAAAATACCTGCCTCCAACTACAGACCAATCTCTTCGATCTCTTCAGTTGCGAAAGTCATGGAGAGAGTCATAAATGACTCATTTCGTGATCACTTACTCCAGAAATCAATCCTAAACGACTGTCAGCAAGGTGTTCTATCAGGAAGGTCATGTAACATCAACTTGTTGGTAGCTCGGAACAGCTGGACTCTCTCTATCAAGCAGGAAAAGCCTGTTCACATTGGTTTACTTGGCCCTTTCTAAGGTCTTTGACAGGGTAAATCATGAAATCCTTTATAAGAAACTTCAGCTCATGAGTGTGCTTGGAAAATTATTAGTTTGGCTTAGAGATCATCTGTACACCAGGTTGCAGCCAGTTAGGGTCGGCTCCTCTCTATCTGATTGGCTCCCGATGCTGAGTGGAGTGCCTCAAGTGTCTGTTCTGGGCCCACTACTGTTTCTTGCTTTTATCAGTGACCCCCAGGGGTCCTAAATTCACATTCACCATTATATGCCGATGATCTGAAGATCTGGAGGGCAATATGGGAACCAACGGATATTTTGGTCTTCCAGGAGGACCTTACAAAAATCCTTGATTGGACTACAGAAAACCTGCTTCCCCTCAACTCGAGGAAGTGTCGGATAATGATGGTTGACAAACTAAAAGCAGTAACGGTCCTAGGCGAAGTAAATATCTGTCACTCTAACATGGAAAAAGATCCGGAAGCTACACTGAGTGACACATTAGGAGCTTCAGTTCACTGTCGCTTTGCAGCCAACAAGGCTTATGGAGTCTTGGAGTTTCTCTCGGGACTCCTCTTTTCACCACAGTGTATGCTCTGTACATTCGCCCTCATCCAGAAAAAATTTGCTTCTGATGTCCTCATACTTTAAAAAGGAGACAGCCATCCTGGAACGGGTACATCTTCGGCGAAGAGATGCACGTTACTGGCATGGAACTCTTCCGCACGGACATGGAGCACAGAGTGGGAGGGGGAGTGGCTCTTTACGTAAACTTCTGTTTAAAGGCAAAAGTGGTTAGCGATACGGCCTTAACTCAGCTCCCAGAATCTCTATGGTGCTACTTCACTCTCCACTATACCAAATACATGCTCGGAGTCATATATCAGCCCCCACCAGCTTTCCTACACATAAGGAAATGGTCATCAAGGAAATCTTAACGACTTCCTCTGCAAATTACGATTCCATAATCATTGCCGGCGACTTCTGCACCCGTCCGTCCTCTTCGAGATGGAAGGGAGACGCATTAGATCCCTCAATCAGAAGCTGAAGGATGCAATTAAGACTTCTGGCCTCTCAGAGAAAGTGGGTGATGCCACACTCAGGGGACCTAACGGAAAAGCATCACGCCATGACTACGTTCAGACGAACGATGAACTTCCCATTGAGGATGTTTGCATCCAACCTCCCCTCGGCCTCAGTGACCACACTGTAATCACCTTCTTCATGATTACTAGGGAGGTTCTGCAACTGAAGACGCCCAACACCTTCCCTTGCTACAGCAAGACCAACTATGAGACCACGAAGGACTATCCCATGAATGCGCCATGGCTGGCAGACTAAGCTCATCTCACAATAGATGAACACTGGTTGGAGGTGAAGAAAATAAACACCGGGGCCATCAGTCAGCGTACCAGGAGTAACACACAGACAATCAGTGAGAACCTCATGGTTAAAGCGTGGGACACAGAGGCTTATCCAGAGCAAGAAGCAGGCTTGGTTCAAGTGGCGTACGTCACGCAGGGGGTCTGACTTCTTGAACTACAAAAGGATTCGCAACCGCCGTAACATTGGAGTGAGTAGCGACAGATTTTCCTATCAAACAAACTTGGTGGAGAGGTTACAAAGCAATCCCCAAAACTTGTACCGCTTCATGTCGAGAAGAAAGTTGACCAGTAAGGGAGTGAATCTTGTCACAGGCCATGGCGGGAGTGTACTGGGCAGTCTAGAGATTGCCGAGCTTTTGAGCTCACACTTCCAAGCCCAACTCAACACTGACACAAGAACCACACCGACTTGTTACGACACCGACCAGGTCGTAAATAATGAATACCTCTGTCACGTCTCTATTACAGAGAAAAAGTGTTCGAGAAACTATCTAGGCCACGTCCAGGTAAGTCCCTTGGCTGCGATAACCTAAAGCCAGCGGTTCTAAAGAACTGCGCTGAGGTGCTCACCAAACCACCTCGCAACCTTTTTGAGTACTCAATAGACTCGCGCAAACTCCTCAAAGAATGGAAGAGCGCCATCTTGTCACCCATCTTCAAGGGAGGAGACAGAAAAAGCCCTGGCAACTACAGGCCGATTGCTCTACTCCCTATTGTGTCGAAAGTGTTGGAAAGCCTTGGGGTTGACACCATCTGAGAACTCCTCAATAGAGAAAACACTGTTCATACTGCTCAGCATGGCTTTCGGAGTGGTCGCTCATATGCCACCAACTAACTAACCGCCTAGGACGACTGTACGCAAAGCTGGGATAACAGAAAACCGGTATATGTTGTATTTCTCGACCTAGCCAAAGCATTTGACAGTGTCCCACCCACAGTACTGCTTCACAAGATCATGTCAGCTGGTATAAGTGGACCCCTACTCTCTTGGTTCAAGGAGTACCTGGAAGGGAGGCAGTTCTGCACTGAAGTAAACAGAATAAGGTCAGAGTGGGGACCCTCGATGTCAGGAGTGTCCCAAGGAGCAATCCTAGGACCATTTCTTATCCTCCCGTTTGTCAACGATCTGCCAGATAAAATATCCTCACTCATCCTCCTCTTCGCTGATGACGTAAAAATTGAGAGGGTGGTACACGAAGAAGCTGATTGTACGGCGCTACAAAGGACTTGCAGCAACTCGAGCTCTGGTCGTCGGAAAATGGCCTGAGCTTCAACCTGGAAAAGTGCAAAGTAATGCACATCAGTAAAAATGAAGCAAGTACGACCGACTTCCAGTACATGTTGAGCAACCGTGCCATCACCAGAGTGTCCATGGAGAAAGATTTGGGGCTCAACTTCCCCGACACTTTGGACACCAGCTCCAACTACAAAGGTATGACAACCAGGGCGAACGCCATTCTACACTTTTTGCGTAGACAGCTTGGCGCCCTCACTCCCAAACTCTTCCTCACCATTTTCAAATCCTACATGCGGCCGCGCCTAGAGGTCTTCAATACGGTGGCTCCTCCAACACTCAAGAGAGACTCTAATCTCCTTGAAAGAATACAAAGAACTGCAACAAAATCAGTTGTGGGGCTAAGGGGAAAGACGTATCCTGAAAGACTTAAACACCTAAACCTATTTACCTTGGGTTATGGCAGAAAACGTGGTGACCTCATTATGGCACACAAGATCGCCCGTCAGGCAGATCACGCAAACAAACCAATTTTGCCTGCAAATCGACGATCTTCACGAGGAAACCCCATTAAGATAGCACACCAGAGAGCCAACACCATACTCAGGTCCAAATTTTTCTCCCTAAGAGCATGTGCTTTATGGAATGCCTTACCGCTATATATCGTTATAGCTTCCTCAGTTGACTCATTCAAGAGACGATTAGACAGTTATATCACCTCGCATGGTCTACCATGGACGTACTCAGGTAGTCACCAACCTCACTTGCCCACCGCCACCTCTCTCCTACCTACCACTCACTATCTCTCTCTTTAATACACCCACATTACCTACTTATTCTTCTGTAGGAACCAAACCCACACTACCATTAGGGTAATTCCCACATACTTTTCTCTCCTTATTTCTCCTTTTCCCCCTTCCTTTTCTTCTCCTTCCCTTCTTTTCCTTTTCTTCCTCATTCTTTTATTACTACCTTACTATTCTCCTTCAGATACCTACACAGGCAGGAGTCACAGCAGTTCTCTGAACTTCACATCGACCCGTAGCCCTTCAATCACTCTACAAATTACAACTTGCTAACCCACAAAACATCCACCTTACAGAGGCTAAAAGGAAGAAAGCAGAGGGGGATTTCCTCGTCCACTGCAGAAGTGAACCGAACAACTCGAACCAAGCCCTAAGAACTAGACACGAGAGATCAAAAACTACCAGTTTTCTACGCTCGCACTATCAATATTGGATATTGAATTGGAAGGTCATATAGACCACTTAGCGGGTAGCTTAAAATATTTTCAAGGTGGGATTATTGCAATTTTCTGTTAGTCTGTCATGTCGTAGTGGATCAAAGCTTATCTATTTCTGCCTATGTCATATTCCTTCGATGCAATAGAAGGTCGATACCAATCTTTTCATTCAGAACCATGTTCACTAGAGAAGCAAATACAAATGAGTCAATTCGGTGTCGGTAGTGCTGCCATTCGTTTATCTTTCCTTGATTTCTCATGTAATAATATAACTTCTCACATATCAACTGATACAAATTATGATGGTTTGTTTAATTATTTCATTATAAATTTCTTTATTTTTTTATAGGTAGCATATTTTGTATAAATATTGGAAATGAAATACGTATATATTCACAAGAGAATAATAATTCATCAACTGAACGTAGATTTTGTAGTGGATCACCTGCTCATATAAGATTTAGATCAACATTAACATCACATTGTTTTAGACAGATTACAGATAAAGTTAAAGATACACAATTATTGATTGGTTTAGCTAATGGTGAAATTAAATTAATTGATCCATTAAAAGAAGATCCTAATAAAGTATTCAATGAAGCAGTAAGATAATTATATTCATATTTTTTTATACCTTTATATATATTTATGCAAGTATTAACTATTCTTTTTTTTATTTATTTAGAAGTCTATCGATGAGACATCTGTAACGTGTATCAGTTGGGTACCACATTCACCTCATCAATTTTTAGTCAGTCATTCAAGTGGTTGTATGTATTTATATGATGAAACATTAGCACAATTATCAACTCCAACATATAATCTATTTAAACAAGGTATTGGATTTTCAGTGTATACATGTAAAACAAAATCAACAAGAAATCCATTATATCGTTGGACACTTGGAAGTTCTAATAATAATAATAATAATACATCAAAATTTGATAATTCTAAATCAATATCTAAACATACAGATTATATAAATGGATATATACAGAATAAAATGTATGAAACACGTAATACTAATTCATTCAATTATGATTCATCATCAATGATCAATTCATTATTTGATGATAATAATGTTTCTATTAATCATTTTGCATTCTCTCCATGTGGTCGTTTTCTTGCTATTGTTACAGAAGATGGTTATATGAGAGTGATGGAATATCATGAGATGGAGTTATATGTAAGTTATATTATATCATTACTATCTATTATGTATTATTGTTTATTTCTCTTTTTGGGTTCCTAGTGGAACACAGGCCTTCAGTAGCACGCATCTGTTCCACTCTATTCTCTGTAATCTTTTGAACCTGGCTCCACGATAGCCTACAAACTCTCATTTCTTCCTCATATGATCTTCTGCATGTCACCCTCGCCTTGGACGCCCAACTCGCTGTTTCTCACCTGGGTTCCACTCAACGGCGTGGCCTGGCACATGATTTCCCCGAATGGTCTTCTCAATGCATGGTCAATCCATCTCCACTTCCTTCTACTGCATATTTGTTGAGCGATAGATTGTGTTGGTTGGTTCGTTGCCAGCCAGCTAGAGTTCCTTGTTGCTTATTCTTTCTGGTCGTCTGAGCTTTTCTGCTGTGTGTGGCTGTAGAGCCTATGAGACATCTCGATTATTCTACCGTCAGATACAAAAAAACCGATACTATGGACACTGGAAGACTGTGGAGTAGTGAACAGTATGGCATTTCTAGGATCGACCTTCTGTAGCTCTACCTCACTATAGGAAAGTCAGTATCGGCATAGCATCGGTGTCACCTACCGACCCTCAGACTCCATCAAAGTATAGCAGTTTGGCTTAACATTATCCGACAGGCGTTTATGGAACTTTTGAACCCTGATGGTACTACTGGTGGAATGTATCAACTACCAATATGCTACTGGTTGATAAAATCTCAGCTGGTATACAAAAAGCCCGTTTAGCATTTGTCAACTTGTGTCATCTGCAGCGCTGACTGCTAAGGTGTTCCATTGTCTCTCTAGAGACGAGTATACTGCCGTGCAATCCATTCTCTCCTGTTATGCATGCAACATGATTATTGGTATCTTTTTTGCATTGTTCCCGCTTGATGGGATGATGGTGTAGGCAATGTTAAGGTCAAGCAAAGGTTACTTGTCAAGACAGGCAACTTGATTGATACACTTTGGACATGTACTGCGCATGCACAGCCACGGTCACTCTCAATGTGCAATGTCAGAAGAATGTAGATTAGGTTGGAAAAGGGTTCAGGATGACAAGAACAAGATGTGGCACTACTCAATAAAATCTCCGACTGTTGATGTGAGTCGTTGAAGGTGTAGACTACTATGCCGTATTATATGGTGTCACCACGTGAGTAACATAGAAGTCAGGCGGAGAGCTTCATGAAGAAGAGGTGAGTCAGTTGACACGGTTATGAACCTTCATCGACTGAGATGGTTGGGACATGTAGTACGTATGCCTAGTCACCGGTTGCCTCATCACACAATGTTGGCCGAAGTAGGTTTAGGCTGGAAAAAGGGTGACACGGGTTGGCCAGACTAAAACATGGCACCAATGTATGAAGTCTCTGACTGTGGGTTTGAGCCTTACAGACTAAATGGTTGGGGTTTGGCGGGACAAGAGAAACCAACAGTAGTTGCAGACTGACTCTGGGTGATATGGCTGAGAACCGCTATACCGAATCTCATTCTTCCTTTCTCTTTTTTAGTACTTTATATTTCTTTTGGCTGAATTTTGTTACCTTCATCTTGCACTTCACTGCCTTGTTTACTTGATGTAGTGATATGAGGTGTGGCAAGTTGGACTGTTACGCAGTAAGTAATGCCTGGTCCTATGTTGGTGGATGAGGATGATGACATAATTTTGCTGTTTCTTGGTGATGATTGACAGTTCATTTGGACGCTACCTTCCTTATGCGACCTGGGGTAGAGAAAACAGTCAGCCCCTAGAAGAGGATACCCTCGGTCGTTGGTATGGGTTTTACAAAAGGGCTGATTGTGTGTGTGTGTGGCCGACTTCAAACTCGTATCCTTTTGCTCTCTGCAGTCACACATCACTATTACTAGCCTTTTTTCCCAGGTGCCTTAAGAAGAAATAACCCTCCATGGATTGGACAGCTGGGAAGTGTTCACCGACCTCATAACTCTATCAGGGCTCAAGTTTCTTCATTATCTTCAAACTATGCCCAAAATTACACCATTTAGCTTCTAATTTCCACATTCTTAGTCGAATCAACCAATAAGTTTCACCATCCGAAATTCTGGCATCTCAAGCCATGAATGTGTGCTGTATTCGAGATACACTCGTACAGGGAATAGATGTGGTTATTGAATTCGGTGAATCAGTGAAATTCATCCTTCGAGTTTCCTAAAAATTTAACAACACTAATTCTTTTAATCTTTCAGGTGTAGTATAAGGCAGAGTGCGATGCTCAATTGGATCTTAGTTGACAACCATCTGTACACTATTTGAACGAGTCGGAACAACGAAACTCTTATCGCTGCTTACGGTACCCACTGACTGATGTTTCGATGAAATGAAAGATGACTTTTGTCTAAAATTATCTGACCTTTTACTAAAAGCGAAATGTTCAAACGTGGTTGTCTTAACAGGTGGTTTCAATGCGAGATTGCGTCATCACCATTACGAGGATCAACAGAGGACCAAGGATTACCGCTTAAGGGTCCCAGTTACCACACTTCTTATCACTACATCAAGTAAACAAGGCAATGAAGTGGAAGATGAAGAAGGAAAGAAAAATCGGTAAAAAGAAGTAGAAAATAGTAAGAGAGACGAAGGAGAAGTGAGTAGATAATGGGATTAAATATAGCGGTTAAGATGAGGATAATGTGTGTGTATACATCTGCATCACTGACTTATCACCTAGAGTCTCCAACCACTAGTAGTTTCTCTTGTTCCATGGACCCCAACCGACTAGTCGGCATCGCCTCATATGGCTCAGACGAACAGTTAACGACTTCGTGCATTGATATCATGTTTTAGTCTGGTCGCCTCTTTCCGCCTTTTTCCAGCCTGAGCCTACTTCGGCTAACATTGTGTAACGAAGCAGGCGGTGGTTAAGCATATGTAACATATTTCCTAGCCAGTTATCTCAGCCGATGAAGGTTCACGACTGTGTCAACTGTTTTACCTCTCTTTCCTTCATAAAACTCTACGCTTGACTTCTGTGTGACCCACATGGTGACACCACGAAACATGGCCTATGTCTCGAAGGCGACGGTAATCAAACATCCGAAGCCTCCTCTCATTTTCTACCTTTAATGGCCATGTTTTACAGCCATAGAGTAGAACAGAGCAAACTGTAACACACTGTCATCAACCCTTAATAGACAATCAAATATTTCGGTGGCGCCACAGATGGTGTAGGTTGGCAAAAGCAAACCAAGCCTTTTGTATCCATGCCGAAATTTAGTCGGGCAATGACCAAAAGCATCACGGCTGATCTGACTTCCCAGGTAAGCGAAGTGTTCAATGCACTCAAACCACCTCACTGTCTATTGTTAGTCGGAGTACCGTTGAAGACCAGTCCTGGAGCAATAGGAGTGGTAAGCTAAGTTGCATATATGTAGACTTATAAAATGTCTTGCCAATGAAACCAGTAAAAATGCTAGAGGTTAAGGGGGACTATAGCCGACTCCGATTTCTTCACAGGGCAGACGATTGAACCTATCAGCTAACTTCCAGTTAGTCTTATGTTGTCCTATTTCCAACCAGATCTTGAATGAAACATTGAGATATAGATACATCAGCTCTAACCAAGTCGAAAAACCTCTAAATAACTTGAGATGAGGAAGCGCAGCACGGCCAGATAGTGTGGTACTGTGGAGGTATTTGGGGACAGTTGTCGGCGATTATTGGTCAGATTAACGTATGATCTCCTTTCACTATTCTCATTCACTGATTGCCTCTGTCTACAGTCAAGCTTGGGGACAGTGAATCAAGCAGGTTGCTGATGTGTTCGTGATTGTTGTATCGATCAGATATTCACCCTCCACGAGGTCCCAAAACCGATATACTTAGCCGTATTCTATGCACTAAGTATATTTCTTTAGGTGAAGGTGGCATTCGACTCTGTCGATCAAGTGGTCTTTTGGAAGCTTCTCTCACTGAAAGGACTGCCGAGCAAGTACGTCACACTTTTGAAGGCTGTGTATTCAAATACTTTTGAATGTCTCAGAGCCTGTGGGGAATTATGAGGTGGTTATCTGTGTGTTGTTTCTCAAAGATGTCCACTCTTCCTATTCTGACTAAATTTTATCATTAATGTAGTTGTGAAGGTCTTCCTCGCCTCATCTGACTACACAGGGATTGATCTTGTCATAGCAGATTCCCTAGTAGACCTGAGATAAACAGACTAAACACACTCCTCTTTGGTGAATATGTTGACAAGATATAAAGTTTTCTGGACACATAGAGTGTCCTGGTCTTAAAGAGACCTTATGACTGGTGAAATTTCCAACCGTATATCGAAAGCCAGAGTGTGGGATACTCTAGTCTGGGCTATGTTCGGCACCGTCGTGAAGTTAGTCTGACCGTAAAAGGTCGGGTTTACAAGACTTTAGTGTGAGCGTAAAACCCGAGCTCTCCGTGGTGAGGACATATGACGACTTTGTGTGTCCGATCATCGTTGTCTCCATAGGATTTCTGGTATCCGGTGGCAACACCATGTAAGTAATCCTGAGGTACGATATTTGTATTGGGCATGATGACGATCGTCATTCAACGGATAAAGTCATCTGAAAACACCGACTTCTGTGGCTTGGACATGTGTTACACATGTCGTCTCAACTACTTCCTTACCGTTCATTGTTTGCTAGCCTCGTGGGACGGGATGGAAGGAGCGGATGGGTGGTCAGTGTATGACATGGTGCTGTGGGATGAAGGACAGTTGTGTGATTACTATCTGTTAGTACGTCACGATTCTCGGTATAATGTGGTGTGTGTGTGTGTGTGTGTGTGTGTGTGTGTGGATTTACAGCTGTAAGTGAATTACACATGGAGTTGAATGAAGCGCCTGTATAATCAAACCTAAGAGATGGGGTACGCACAGGACTGTGAAGTTATTAAAAGTGGTTGTCATCCCTGATCTCGAGGATCATGGCAATAGGTAATATATACATTGAACACCTGGGATTATTCCTTATTGGAGGTTGTAGATCATTGCTTCACGGAGTTGACGACTTTCAACCAAGCGGGTCACTGATTCGAGCATGGTGATCCACATGTCGAGGTGCTTTGGGTAAACCGAGTGGTAGTATCGTTAGCCGTCACAATACAATGTTTAATAGTGGCTCATTGCTTAGCCTACTGCGTGAATATGCACAACAGCAGACTTAGTATCATCCTAAATTTCCTCAGGATGAGAATTGTTGTCATGCTTAGATAAACGCGTAGCTAATTTCTCTCTAAATGCGTACTTGGCATTCTCATCTCTTCCAATCGAGCACCTGCTTCCTTTGGCCAGCAAGGCCTAGACATACACAAACCTGTACTATCACGTGATTGGAGTCAAAACTGGTACTTCAAAGAGAACAGCGATCCTCCACCGATCCTCTCCTTGTGCGTCAGTGTCTCTTCTCATTCCTAAAGTTAGTATTGACCAGAAACAAGTGATTGTCGGAACAAACTGTTATCGGTTTGTTGGTATGCGATTCAGTAAATACCTTTGAAGTGCCTTTCCTATGGATTCATCTCTGCTTGAGCGTTAAAGTCATCTGCTTCTCGTAAAATTCATCCTTTGGATCAATCGAACTGCAGTTAGTAGGTGCATAGGCGGAGATTACGAATGGGCATCACTAACCGTTATCTTCAGGTTGTTCGTTCTTACATGCAGCTTTGTCTACTTTGATATGAGTCTCTTTCTATCCATCTGTTCTTTGTATTCTACCGTGAAGTGTGTAGCAACTTGAGCCGATTTAGGTGTGTGCGAGGTTCTGCATTGATTTTGCCAGCGCTGTTGTGCGAAGTTTTACGTTCATTATTATTTTTTGTACCTTGGGTTCCTAGTGGAACATCAGCCTTCAGTAGCACGTCACCATTTCATTCCCTTCTCTGTAGTCTTCTGCTTTAACATGGCTCCACGACTGCTCATAACCTTTCATTTCTTCCTTACACCATCTCCTCCTCCATGTCACCCTCGGATGCCCAACTCGTAGTTTCCCCTTTCGGTTCCACTCGACGACCTGGCCTGGCGCATGATGTCCCCAAATGGTCTTCTCAGCGTATGTCCAATCCAATCCATCTCGACCTTTTTCTGCGTATTTGTTGGGCGATAGGTTCTTGGTTGGGTCGTTGCCAGCCAGCTAGCCGAATGGGCTTACTTGCCTTTCTCATGCATCTGTCTGACCAACGCAAAGGGGGTTTCTTTTTCATCAGTGGGAGAGCAGTAGTCTTCTCGATATGCTTTCGGTGGGCAGGTACCCAGCACTGCAGTCGCAGCATCGGTGTTGTTTAGGTGAACAAGATTTGATGAAATGCTAATCAGGCGATGGGGGGTATCTTTTTCGAGGGTTGGTTGGTATCACTTGAGTTACTGGGCCGATGAGGAGATGAGATAAGGACAGGGAGCATGTCGCTAAAGAGTGGTGCAAAGGAATGCGATATCTGGCGAACTATATGTACTTGAGAACCATTCTGGCATCTGGATTGCGCTAAACTCATATCCGACTGTAGGTTACTCAGTTATTAATATTCTGAAGACATATCATTCAGTGTCTGAACTGTGGATTGCTTAAGTATCTGGATAATCCTGATTTGTTGTTCGAAGAAATTGTCCAACTTTAAAGAGTCCACTTCACAATATTCCAACTTCTTTTCGCCAGTGTTTTGATTCAGAAATTGCTATATTCTACAGCTGCTAACAATGCACACATATCAAGTGTCTAGAAAAAGGGCAAAGGAGTAAAATTTATGATATCATTATTAGGGTTATAAATATGCAAGACGATAGAATTCTTGAAAATGTTTACTATGTAATGAACAAGATCAGGTTACATTAAGAAGTTATAGGATTCACTTCTAGACGAAAAATTCGACGACCAGGTGAATAAAACCCTTGAATAAACTCTTCAAAGCAGAATAAATAACAAATGCCGAATAGAATAGAATGGATCTATCCTTTCTTGGTTCTATGGCAGACTTAAAACTACACAAACCTAGACATCGCTCTATGGACCAATTTTCTCACTTCCAGGAAGTTCAACATACAACATATCAAGAGAACTTTCGAGAAAAGTGAAACACCTTGTTCAATCATGTGGACATTCCATCAAGTCACCAACGGAATTCTTAGAAAAGATCAAGAGCATTAACATAGAAAACGACGAATTAATGATATCCTTCGATGTCACAGCACTTCACGCATCCATCGAACCCTAATTGGCCAAGGAAACTATATCCCTCCTGCTCATTGAAGACATAAACCTTTTAGAACGCACAAAACTTAAATGTTTAAGTCTAGTGAACTTCATCAACCTTTGTATGACAACATACTTCCAATTCAATGGCAAGATATACAAACAGATGAAAGGAACTCCAGTGGCATCACCGATATCCGGACTAATTGCAGAAGCAGTGATGCAGAGACTGGAAGCCATCATCGTACCTGTGATCAAACCAAAATTCTGGATTCGCTATGTGGATGATACTTTTGCCATCATTAAAAAAGAGATGATATAGAGAACACTCACACTTTGATCAACAACATTTGCGCTTATAACATCAAATTCACAATAGAGAAGGAGTCGAACACAACCAACTATCATTCCTCGATGTGCTAGTCACTAGGACAAATCCTAAAAAGCTTGAAACTCAAGTGTACAGGAAGTCAACATATACTGACTGATTAAATCCTCAACTACAGTGTAGCAACAACCCAACAACGCACAAGATCACTTAGATGCTCAGACTTTATTCAAAAGATTGAGAACACATTGCACTGCAGTACAACAACTTCCTGGGGAAACGAAGAAAATTACTTGATATCCACCCTAAGGAAGAACGGATACCCACGAAACTTTATCAGAAGATGCCTATCCCGTACAGCATCATCATCTACAAAGCCATCGACAGAAATCTACAAACACATCATCCTACCCTACATGAAGAAGAGATCGGAAATCATGACAAGATTACTGAGACCACATGGAATTGATGTGGGGTGCCTCATACACTAACAAATTCCCTTCAAACACTATTATGCAGACCATACGGAACGTAACAACCAAAGAAAAGAAGATAAACCGAATATCATTTACAACATTAACTGGAATAACTGTGATCAACACCACATTGATTGGACAAAGCTGTCGCTCTCTTTGCCTTTATCTACCATGAGCACTAATTGGCTGTTAAACGTCACAACATTTCATTAATCGTTTCTCAATCCAAGATGCTTGGCATTCAGGTTGGTCAGTCAGTCAGCAATCAATAGATGTATAAATATGATAGACCTAATCAGAAAAATGATAAACAACAGAAAGGTCAGAAGTCAGACAGAGAAACAACCAATCACACAACAGTGAAAGGGAACAATCAATAACAAACCAATAGGTGTCAGAGCAAACTACTGAATTCCTCACAAAGAGATATTGACAGGCAAGTTAGTGCTAATGTTGATGATGATGATGATGTCACTGTCTCTAGTAAGACAATGAATACTTCACGATTAGTTTTTCAGTTTTCTCAGTAGTGTTTTTCAATGCTTTTCTCTATCTTTCTCTTTTAAAGGGTTTTATGCGCTCTTATTTCGGTGGTTTACTCTGTGTAGATTGGTCACCTGATAGTCTATTCATTGTTACTGGTGGACAAGATGATTTAATAACAATTTGGTCTGTATTGCATAGAGCTGTTATATGTCGTGGTCAAGGTCATAAATCATGGGTTAGTATGGTACGTTTTGATCCATACCTTTGTCCTAATACTGATATGCCACCGCCATCATCCTCATCATTATCATCATCATCAGTTTGTATAAATCATGAAGAATTGACAGAAAATTCAATGATTATTAGAAATTCACCTGTTACACTATGCGATAATGGTGATCTTCGAAGTTATCGGTTAGTGAATTTCCTTTTTTTTCCTTTCATTTTATCAGTTTTTTTTGGTTCGCAGTGAAATAGTGCATCAATCACTTCACTTGAGTGCTGATTGAGTTGTGAGGCCGGTTGCGAACACTGTGGTAGGCTATTTCTTCTTAAAGGTACCTAAAAGAGATTTGTGTGACCGCAGAGCCCATCTGCTTGAGGCTTGTCACATTTAGCCTTTTGAGTAATATTATTTTAAACTTTTGTATTTTTTGGGGCTAGAGAGTCGAAAGAAAACGAAAAATGAACTAACACCGCCGACCGGGTAGACCGTGGGACATGGTGGAGTGTGTTATTTTTGGGCCCCCCCCCCGCGTTCCACTGAGAAGGCAGCATCAGCATGCCACTGCTGGTCGTCCAAGGGATACACCTTACTGTTGTCATACCCCATCCGGCTAGCAGCAGTACGACTTCGCCCTCAGACACCCATCATAGTGTAGCAATTTACACCACAACGGTAACTTACTTACTTAAGGAAGGGTGGATCAATGCGAAGATTGTCTGATTGCTGACAAGATGTCAGCTGAGATATAGAAGGCTAACTTACATCATCTATGATGTATTGTGCTGTAATCTGTTCTGTTGTGTTACAAGTTATAGGTGCTTGATTATACGTATCTTTGTAGCGTTGTATTAATATCGAAGGGGTTACTAGGTATGAAAGAGAAGGTGGTCGATTAGGTGAGGGTGGCTGGAATAAGACGTGACAGATTGATGAAATCGCTGGCTATTGGTTTAAACTGTATGAGGAGGTGTAGGCTGGGTGTGTGGGTGAGGTTCTTGGTTGATTTTGTCTGTTTCCTATGTTACATTTTAGTCTAATCATCAGTTGACTGTTAACTAGTGGGGGTGATCAGTTAGTCAGCTGTCACATCAGAGGGGATTAGCTAATCGCCTACCACGACGATATATATATATCAATGCTTGGATAGTTGTTTAGTTCTTAGCTAATTAGCTATCTACCGTAATAAATGATATAAATGGACTTTGTGGAGAATATTTGTAGCTCAGGTGGATGGTCTTGGTTGTATTGTGTTCTCTGAGGGAGGAGCTGGGTTGTTTATTAATCATGGAAACGCTTTCATCATCTTTCTAGACGACATCATCCACAGCACTAACTTCAGGGTGAAGTCAGCTAGCTGTCAATATTTCTCCATGAGTGACTTAATAGGTTGGTCTGACAAAGAGATCTGTGATTGATTGGTTGGCTGTTCTTCTGCTTGACCTCTGACCATTCTGTCCTTTATCCTTTTTCTTATTGGTTGATAGATTGGGTGTATGTCTATACATCTAAGTGACCTGATTATCAAGCTTCTAGGAATTCTGTGATGAATATTCTTTGTGTTTCGTCTCCATGGCCAACCTTTTCTACATTGTCCAAGTTGAATTTATGTGCATAGTTACTATCCACGTGGATTGAGCAATGAGCCAATTAGTGCTCATGGTAGATAAAAGCAAAGAGAGCGACAACTTTGTCCAATCAGTGTGGTGTTGACCACAGTTATTCCAGTTAATGTTGTAAATGATATTCGGTTTATCTTCTCTTCTTTGGTCTGCATAATAGTGTTTGGAGGGAATTTGTTAGTGTATCAGGCACCCTGCATCAATTCCATGTGGTCTCAGTAATCTTGTCATGATTTCTGATCTCTTCTTCATGTACGGTAGAGTGGTGTGTTTGTAGATTTCTGTCGATGGCTTTGTAGATGATGATGCTGTGCGGGATAAGCATCTTCTGATAAAGTTTCGTGGGTATCCGATCTTTTGAATAAAGTCTGAGCATGTAAGTGATCTTGTGCGTTGTTGGATTGTTGCTACACCATAGTTGAGGATTTAATCAGTCGGCATATGTTGGACTTCCTGTACACTTTTTAGGATTTGTCCTAGTGACTAGCACATCGAGGAGAATGATAGTTGGTTGTATTCTACATGGGGAATGATGTCTTCCAGTGTCTACTGGAATTACTCAAGATGTCGATGATTGTATTGAAGTTGGTTTCATGTGTATATTGTCAGTGCATAGGTGGTGGATGAGTTTCATCAGGCTTGTTGTTTATATATATATCTTTATGATGTATGGATTATTTACTCATTTTATCCTTTTTTTTAAAGGCTTGGTTCAGTAGCACATGATACAATGTTATGCTTATGGGAATTAACTGATGATATTATACGTCAAGGTGTTGAATTCATTCAATCATCAACTATAATGAAGAAACATTTACATAATCTTAATTATAATACAACATGTTATTCACATGGAAAAAATTCATCTTGTCTACAAAATTCATTCAATGAAATATTTACTAGTTATAGTAATAATATTATATCAAACTGTAATATATCTCCTATTGTTACTGATACTATTGTTACTGTCTTATCATCGAATAATAATAATGATTCAATAACTTCTACAATTATTCCCTCTTCATATATTCATTCTACTACTACTACTACTACTACTAATCGATTTTCTATGAAATTATTAAATGATAATCGATATATTAATAATAAACGAAAAAATACTCTTATGAATAATTCTACATCATCGTCATTACCATCAGCACCACCATCAACATCAGTATCATCTACTTCTTCTTCTTCGTCGTCGTCAGCATCATCATCATCATCATCAGCATCAACTGGTCCTCCATTGAATAATGAATCTATGGATAAGTGTAATAAATCAATATTTTCTATATCACGGGGTTTTCATTTTGCTTATACAAATTCAAGTAATCGAATTGTACGATTTCCACGTATTGGGATGAATAATAGTATCACTATCGGTAGTGCTAGTGGTGGTGGCGGTGGCGGTGGCGGTGGCGGTGGTGGTACAGACAAGTTGAATACATCTACAATGAATTCGATTAAAACGTGTAGTTTAAATCGTTTAAATGAAGTTAAATGGATGTTATCAGTCAGTGAAAATAAGTAAGTTTATCTTGTGTTTAATGTTATATTATTATTATTATTTCATTGTCTATCTGTTGTAACCGAGTGGGGCAGGCGGGTTGTATGCGTGGATATAATCATACACAGACCGAATAAACACCTGAACTGAAATAGTTTAGTCAGTCAATAGTAATCACTTCATTTACCTGAGAAGTAGGATCAGCCCTGGTGCCACTAGCTCATTGACCGATGAAACCTCTGCACAGATACAAAAGGCTCGGTTGGCTTTTGTCAACTTACTCTACCTATGGCGCCGCCATGATATCCGTTTGTCTATTAAGGGTCGAGTGTACTGCACAGCAGCAGTCCGGTCTGTTCTATTGAATGGCTGTGAAACATGACCATTGAAGGTGGAGGGCATGAGAAGGCTTCAAGTGTTTGACCACCACCGCCTTCGCAGTATAGCCTAGGCGGCATTCCGTGGTGTCACCACTTGAGTAATACAGAAGTCAGGTACAGCCAGCCAGAGTTCCTTGTTGCTTATTCTTTCTGGCCTTCTGATCTCATCTTCAGTATCGGGAAAGCGTATGCGATGATGTGTGTCTGCAGTTTGTTGGGCAATGCTTTTCGTGACGCGCCAAGTCTCTCAACCATGATATAGAAGCACTGACTTGACTAACTTAGTGTTGAAAATCGGGATCTTGTCCACGCTTTATGCTGAGTGGAGTGGAGTGGAGTGGAGTGCACTAGATCTCCACACTGATTTCAGGTTAATCAAGGTCTTCCTTGCTGCCTTTCTTATCCTGGCTTTGATATCCTCATATGTGCCTGTGCCGCCTGTAGTTGAGACGCTGCTGCCTAGATAGGTAGGTGGGAGAGACAACTTCGTTTAGTTTTCTCCCGTTGATGGTGATTGTTGCTTGTTGTTGTTTGTTGGTTATCTTCATCACTTGTGTCTTCTCTACGTTCACCTGAAGGAAGTTCGGTGTTTGCTGTCTCGCCTCTTCCACCAACCTGTTGGTTTTCGCTTGTACGTCTTCGAGTTTGTGCGACAAGACATTCGACATAACTCATCATCGGAGCGAATTCCAAGTCTTCTAGAGTCATTTCATCGGTCAAACAGCGTATGTCCGCCTTCTCACAGCTCCTCATAATTGTTTGTTGCATGATCCAGTCCAGTGCAGTCGACTACAGTTATGAAGATGATGGGTGATAGTCTTTACTTCCAAGGCCTGACTGAGATTTGCATTATGAATCACTTGGCATGTAGCATGGTGATGTAGGCACATAGGTAATGTTGAATGAGGTTGATCAATGTTTGTGGCAGTAAAACCCTAGTGTTGAAGCAGCTACGAAATTACCTCTTGATTGACACTGTGGAAGGCCTTTTCAAAGTCGATGAAGTTGAGGTAGAGATGCAGTTGAGTGACATTCTATATTCTGTTGTATGATGATGCGTAGCGTAGCGTTGAATTTGATGCGCATATGATTTGTTTTCCCTGAAGTCAGTCAGTCAGTCACTCTGTTCCGGTCGTAATTTTGAATCCAGAGCATGTTTTAGCCTCTCCAGTATGATGTGACTTAATATTTTGTTCAGCGTAGACTGTAGTATGATTCCACACCAATTCTTACAAAGAACATTAAGACATTAGGAAAGGATGAAATCAACTTGCTGACGTATGAATCACTTATTTAACGCCGCATAGACATCCGAACATACTTTTTTTGCTGTTGTCTGTTTTCTATTACTAACCAGTAATCAGTTACAACTGCACTGAAATATAATATAATAATAATATAATAATATATAATATAATATAATATAATAATATAATATAATAAGTTTATCATTCAACTATGTGAGAAAGCAGCCATGGTTTAGTTAGTGATGATTGGAGGTGAAATGAAAATTTGAACTGTGGTTGGATTCGAACCAGTGACCAACAGGTTTTACGAACTGAGCTGCGAGATCTCACTCATCTCATCATCAATCATCACTCGATATCAGTAATACTAGTCTACCAACCCATGGCTGCTATCTCAGATAGTCAAATGGTAATCAATATGTTCCCCCCCCCCTCCGCACCTCTCTGATTCAGTTACATTTAGATTGGAATGAGAAGTCCTGACTGATGGGGGGCAGCCAGTGTCAATACGATCAAGTGGTAGTAACACCTCATGAATTCACATGGTAGTTGGACAAAACCCCGCCTTGTGATTGAAGTCAGTAGTTGTTAATCAGTTGGTAGAGCATCGGGCCGGTAACCCGACAGTCGCTGGTTCGAACCCAGCCACTGTCCAAAGTTCCATTTCACCTTAAATCATCACCCAGTGTAAAATGTAATAGTATTTGCGGAATATATTTTGGATAATCTTCGAAAATATAGATACTTGGGTAGGATATCATCTCACGGTATATTTGTGAAGGTAGGTTTGATGAAATGTCATCGGGCACAAACTCGAAGATCTACAAGTGAAAACTAACAAGTTGACAGAAGAGGCAGCGTAGCAAAGACGGCACTTCAAGTGAATGTAGAGAAGACGCAGGTTATCAAGATACCCAACCAACAGCACCACCAACAACAAGAGACACCAATCACCACTAACGGGAGAAACCTAAAGGAAGTAGTCTCTTTCATCTACTTAGACAGGATGATTTCAACTACAGGCGGCATAGGCATAGGCACAGACGAGGATGTCAAAACCAGTCAGGATCGGAAAGAAAGCCAGACAGGCCACCCTTCATGAATCTGAAATCAGTGTGGGGATCTACTGAACTGTACTCAGCGTAAAGCGTGAACAAGATCCAGATTTTCAACACCAATCCAGTCAAGTCAGTGCTTGCTTCTATGTTCACTCGATACTGAAGATCAGATGGCGAGAAAGAATAAGCAAGAAGCAACTCTGGCTTGGAAACGAACCGACCAAGAACCTATCACCCAACAAATATGCAGAAGAAGACAGTGGAGATGGATTGGGCATACACTGAGAAGGCTATTCGACGACATCACGCGCCAGGCCACTCCCTCGAGTTGAATCCAAGGGGTAAACGACGAGTTGGGCTTCTGAACTGAAGGTGACATGAAGGAGATCGTGCGAGGAGGAAATGAGCTTCTAGGCTGTCTTGGAGTCAACTTCAAAAGGTTGCAGAGAACAGAGTGGAATGGAGGCGTTCTACTGAAGCCTTATGTTCCACTAGAAACCAAAGGGATAAATAATAATGATAATAATAATAACATATGTAACAGGAATGATTCATTACCACATAATACAGATATCTGGGGAGATTTTACTACCATTATAATGATCAATCAATCAATATCAACATAGGACCAGGTATTACTGCGTAACAGTCCAACTCGCCACACCTCATATCATTACATCAAGTAAAAAGGCAGTGAGGTGAAGGATGAAGATAAGAAAATTCAGTCAAAAGAAATATAAAGTACAAGAAGAAAGGAAAGAGGAATGACAAAATGGTGAGATTCGGTATAGCGTGGTTAAGATGAGAATAATGTGTGTATACATCTGTGCCACTGACATCGGTTCTGAGCCGTATCCCCTAGAGTCTCCAACCACTGGTTCCTATTGTCCCGCCGACCCCAACCACCTATTCTACATCGTCTCATATGGCTCAAACCCACAGTCACAGACTTCATACATTGGTGACATGTTTTAGTCTGGCCACCTCGGGCCTTTTTCCAGCCTCCACCTACTTTGGCCAACATTGTGTGGTGAGGCAATCGGTGACTGGGCATACGTAGTACATGTCCCAACCATCTCAATCGATGAAGGTTTATAACCTCGTCAGCAGATTTACCTCTGCTGCCTAAAACTCTACACCTGACATCTGCATTACTCACCTTTTTGGTGACACCACGGAATGCCGCCTATACTACGAAGGCGATGGTGGTCGAACACCTGAAGCCTTCTTATATCTTCCACCTTCAGTGGTCATGTTTCACAGCCGTACAGTAGAACAGAGCAGACTGCTGTGCTGTACACGCAAAGCTTAGTAGACAAACGGATATCATGGCGGCGTCATAGGTGGCGTAAATTGGCAAAAGCCAATCGAGCCTTTTGTATCCGTGCAGAACTATAGAACTGTATGATGAAGGTGAGGTTTTGAAAGTGAATTTTACTTGATTAATATTAGTATACTGTGTGTGTACTGATCACATCAAATTAACAAATTTAATGTATAATTTTACTCTACGACACAGTATATCGAAGTTTTACTTGTATATCTTGTCATTACACTCTTGTGTAGTGTGTGTTTTGACCACCGTTGCCTTCGTAGTGTGAAGGCAGTATTCCGTGGTGTCACCACTTGAGTAATGCAGACGTCGGGTATAGAGTTTTAGGCAGCAGAGGTAAATCTGTTGACGAGGTTATGAACCTGCATCGACTGAGATGGGTGAGACACGTACTACGTATGCCCAGTCACCGATTGCCTCACCACATACAATGTTGGCCAAAGTAGGTGGAGGCTGGAAAAAGGCCCGAGGTGGCCAGACTAAAACATGTCACCAATGTATGAAGTCTCTGACTGTTGGTTTGAGCCATATGAGACGATGTAGAATAGGTGGTTGGGGTCGGCGGGATAAGAGGAACCAGTGGTTGGAGACTCTAGGGGATACGGCTCAGAACCGATGTCAGTGGCACAGATGTATACACACATTATTCTCATCTTAACCACGCTATACCGAATCTCACCATTTTGTCATTCCTCTTTCCTTTCTTCTTGTACTTTATATTTCTTTTGACTGAATTTTCTTATCTTCATCCTTCACCTCACTTCCTTTTTATTTGATGTAGTGATATGAGGCGTGGCGAGTTGGACTGTTACGCAGTAATGCCTGGTCCTATGTTGATATTGATTGATTGGTTGTATGCTTTGTTCAGCTGCCTGAGAAACGAAGCTGTAGATAAGCAGAGAGTGTTTGTCATCTACTGGGGCACGATTATTATCCATCTTTAGAGCAGGAGGGCGGCGGGAACACCATCATTCACTGGCATACAGATACATCTGATTGATGAGTCCTAGGTAGGACGAAACATGTATACTATATTCTACAGCTAGCCAATATATGTATAATTAATATCAAAAGTGTAGTACACAAATTCGATTATGATTGAAATACTTTTTTTTATACAGGGGTAGGACGCTAAGGGAAGGGGGGGGGGCTATAAATATACTCACTTTTTATATATTTCTACTCTCTTTTTATTCAGTATTTTTGGTTCTCCTCTCTGTCCTCGAATCAATGATGTTCCAATGCTTGAACCACTTGTATGTACACGAATATTAAAGGATAGAGTTACTGATCTTGTTTTTCGACGTGATACAATTCATATAGTTGATCAACAAGGATTATTTTTAGCTTGGCAAAGACCTGTAAGTAGAACATATTTCATTTCATTTCATTTCTGTTAAGTTTTATACTTGTATTTATTTAGAACACCTTTTATTGATTAATTGAGTATTAACTACTTTAATAATTGTTCTGATAAACGTCGACATCACCTCGCTATGATGGACAGATAGACAGACAGACAGAGGTGGGATACTTTGCATACGAGTTGTTACACACTTCATAAGGAGTGATATGAAGGTAGACAGTGTGAAAGAGTGAACAATTTAAGGTTAAAGGTTAGAAGATGTTAAAGAAGAGTGATGAAAACATTTGTGGCATTTCCGTCGGTTCCCAACCATTTCATCAACTATTGATTCTTTTCGTTTTGAGGCCCTCCCCAAATCATACAGTCAATATCTCCTTATATGACTCCGATGTGTATACTTAAAGAGTTTATCGACTGAATGGTATGAGGTTTCAGTTTGATGACCTTGAACCCTCCTCTAACCTAATCTAGGATTTCCTAATATGTTATATCGATGTAGTAGATGGGTGTGGTTCAGCATCATTGTTATTATTTGTCCCTTGGGTTCCTAATGGAACATAGGGCTTCAGTAACAAGTCTCCAGTGCACTCTGTTCTCTGAAATCTTTTGAACCTGGCTCCAAGACAGCCCAGAAGCTCTAATATCCTCCTCGCACGATCTCCTCCATATTACCTTCGGTTGAGAAGCCCAACTCGTCGTTTACCCCTTGGATTAAACTCGAGGGAGTGGCCTGGCACGTGATGTCCTCGAATAGTCTTCTCAGTGTATGCCCAATCCATCTCCCCTTTCTTCTTCTGCATATTTGTTGTGTGATAGGTTCTTGGTTGGTTCGTTCCCAGAGCTCCTTGTTGCTTATTCTTTCTGGCCATCTGAGCTTCAGTGACGAGCCAGCGTAGGCAGTTGTTGATAAATATCTGTAGTTTGTTGGAAATCCCTTTCGTAACGCGCCAAGTCTCCGAGCCATACAGAAGTACTGACTTGACGTTAGTGTTGAAAGTCCGGATCTTGTTCTTTGTACTGAGTGCAGTGCAGTTGATCTCCACACTGGTTTCAGTCTAATGAACGCCTGTGTTGCTTTTCCGATTCTGACTTTGACATCCTCGTATGTACCGCCTGTAGTTGAAACAGTGCTTCCTAGATAAGTGAAGGAGGTTACTTCCTTTAAGTTTCTCCCGTTGATAGTGATTGGAGTTTGTTGTTGTTGTTGTTCATGGTGGCGTTGGTTGGGTATCATCATCACCTGTGTCTTCTCTGCGTTCACTTGAAGTCCTGTCTTCGCTGCCCTGCCTCTCCTCTTCTGTCAACTTGTTAGTTTTCGCCTGTAGATCTTCAAGTTTGTGTGACATTAGACATAAATCATCATCAGCGAAATCCAAATTTTCTAAGGTGTATTCATCGGCGCAGCCAGCGTGCGCCCATCTTCTCACTCCTCACGATTTGTTGCATGATCCAGTCGACCAAGATCTGGAACAACATAGGGGATAGTAGACAGCCTTGTTTTACTCCTATCTTCACTTCAAAAGCATCACTGAGCTTTCATCGTGGATCACTTGGCTTGTGGTGTCTTCATACAGCTTATCTGTTGAATGAGATTGATGAAGGTTTGTGGTATTCCGTAGTGTTGAAGCAACTGCCAAATTACTTCTCGGTCATTGCTGTCGAAGGCTTTTTCAAAGTCGATGAAGTTGAGGTACAGGTACAGTTGACTGCCATTCTATACTCTGTTCTATGATGATGAGAAGGGTTGCAATTCGGTCCGTACATGATTTGTACTTCCTGAATCCAGCCAGCTTGTTGCGGTTGTAGTTTTGTATGTAGATCATTTTTCAGTCTATTCAGGATGATGCTGCATAATAATTTGCTTGATTGGGTGGATTTTTCGCCAGTTCTTGCAAAGTCTTAGGTCGCCTTTCTTTGGGAGTTTTACAAGATAGCCCTTCTTCTAATCAACTGGCTGGTATCTTACCTTTCTTCCAGATCTTCTGCAATAATGGTGTAAGCATATCCGCTGTTGTCTCTGCGTCTATCTTCAGTGCTTCTTGTCCTACTGCTTTCCAGTAGCTTTATGGCGCTCAGGACTTCAACTTTTCCACAATATGCGACTATGTTTCACAACTCTACAACAGGATAGAATGAACTATACAGGAGATAGTATACTTGTACTATGATAGATAATCGATGCCATAGAGATGATACAAGTTAACAAGTTGAGATGATTAGCGTTACACAATACTACGCTATACGATACTCGCTTCACTAGTCAGATACTGTCACAACACCTTATTAGTTGATAGATTGAATATTCGATTTCAGGTTAAGAAATATGATCAATGTATCCATGAATAACAGATTTAAAACCTGCCTAGTTTTTTCTCTCATCGATACATTATTATTAGTATTATTTGACCCTTTGGGTTCCTAGTGGAAACTAGGGCTTCAGTAGCAGCACACCTTCATTGCACTCTGTTCTCTACAGTCTTCAAAACGTGGCTCCACGATTGTTTACAAGCTTTCATTTCTTCCTCAAACACCATCTCCATCTCCATGTCACCCTCGCCTTGGACGCCCAACTCATTGTTTCCTCTTTGGATTTCACTCGAGAGTCTGACCTGGTGCATGATGTCCCCAGTTGACCTTCTCAGTGAGTGCAGTGCAGTAGATCTCTACGCTAGTTTCAGATTAATGAAAGGTGGCCTGTCTTGCTTTCTTTCCGATCCTGACTGGTTTTGACATCCTCGTCTGTGCCTGTGACGCCGCCTGTAGTTGAAACCATCTTGTCTAGGTAGATGAAAGAGACTACTTCCTTTAGGTTTCTCCCGTTAGTGGTGATTGGTGTCTCTTGTTGTTGGTGGTGTTGTTGGTTGGGTATCTTGATAACCTGCGTCTTCTCTACATTCACTTGAAGTGCCGTCTTTGCTACGCTGCCTCTTCTGTCAACTTGTTAGTTTTCACTTGTAGATCTTCGAGTTTGTTCGACAAGACATTCGACATAAATCATGATTGGCGAAATCCAAATCTTCTAGCCCCATTCATCGATCCAGCCAGCGTATCTCCCTCTTCTCGCTGCTCACTGTTTGCTGCATGATCCAGTCGACTACAATCAGGAAGATCATGGGTGATAGTATGCAGCGTTGTCTTACTCCTGTCTTCTCTTCACTTCACTTCAAAGGCGTCACTAAGCTTACCATTATGGATCACTTGGTATGCAGCGTCGTCATATAGCTGTTGCCCTTTGGGATATCATGATAGCTACTGTAAAACTTAGTGCATTCGTGGTTGTCGTCTGGGTGACAATATCGGAGTAGATTATTGACTCTCTAGTTGACAGTTTGGAGATTGCACTTCCATTCCATATGCTTTCGCAGACTCCTAGCACTTCCATCCCATACCTCTTCATCTCTTTTTGCAATCTAGGCAGCCTTGCTAGGTTCATACATGGTGCGGACATTCCATGTCCCCAGTCTTACTTTCCCTTTTATCAAGAGAAAAGTAGACACATCAGCCGACTGTAGTTTCTTTAGCGATTGGATTGGTTATATGGGGTAGGGTTACTAGCCCTAGCCCTCTTTACGCTGGCTTAGGACCGTCTAGTGAACTAGTTAACCAGGCGAGGTTTCGATACAAGTAAATTCTCTGATGGTTGTCAAGTATAATTGTATCTGATATACTTTATAGAATGATTTATTTCAATATGCTACAGTTGAAGCGGTCAAAAGTGGGCTTGTCTACACGAGGTTGTACACTGATTTTGTGTATCTATCTATCAGGTGTAAATGATTAAAATACAACTAAGTCGGTCTTTGGTTCGACCCCCGGTCCACTTACTATCATATAATCGGTGTTTAGTTCATTGCCTACTGTATGAATATACATGTACACATATTACATATCTATTGTGTATTTATATCAATAAAAAATTATTGTTTGTATAATATATATATATATAGATGGAAGTGAAAGAGAATAATGGACCGAGTTTTCGAATCCCTGTATGCCAGCAGTCAAGTGAGTGATTCGAATTTATTTGCCTCCTCAATATAACTAATAAAATATAATTCCATGTATTCTGTACTATTTGTATAACAAGATGATGAGTCTCTGTGAAACAAACACTGTGATACATACATGCATGCATACATACACACATATATGTATTCTTTATATACATTAACATTTTGATGGATTGTAACTCTCTTCCATTTGAAGAGGAGGATTTTCTCTGTCGGTTGGCGTTATATTCCTCTGTGTGTGTGTGTGTGTGTGTGTGAAGCAGCCAACTCACTCCCCTAACTACACACATTTGTTCACTCACTCACTCACTCACTCTTTCCCTAACTACATACACTTATTCACTCACCCCCTAACTACACACACTTGTTCACTCACTCACTCACTCCCCCTCTCCCTCTCTGTTTCGCACCCCCCTAACTACACACACTTGTTCACTCACTCACTCCCCCCCTCTCTCTCTGTTTCGCACTCCCCTAACTACACACACTTATTCACTTACTCACTCTCTCTCTCACTCACTCCCCTAACTACACACACTTGTTCACTCACTCTCCCTCTCTCTCTCTCTGTCTCTCACTCACCCACTCACTCCCCTAACTACACACAGTTATTCACTCTCTCTCTGTCTCGCACTCCCCTAACTACACACACTTATTCACTTACTCACTCACTCACTCTCTGTCTCTCACTCACCCACTCACTCCCCTAACTACACACAGTTATTCACTCTCTCTCTGTCTCTCACCCCCCTAACTACACACACTTGTTCACTCACTCCCCCTCTCTCTCTCTCTGTCTCGCACTCCCCTAACTACACACACTTATTCACTTAGTCACTCTCTCTCTCACTCACTCCCCTAACTACACACAGTTATTCACTCACTGTGCAACTTACACACTCATTCCCTCAATCATCCACTCACTCATTCACTCCCCTAACTAACTACACACACTCACTCACTCCATCAATTACACACACTTGCTGTTAACTAATTATCCAATGATAAATCGAGATCCCGTATAATATTTTCAATAGTCTTCATCCGGTGTCTCTATTCCCTGCGTAATTACAATAATAATAATAATAATAATATTCATGATATGTCACGGATACACATGTGTAATATGTTTAATAAACAATAATCACATGATAATAATGATTGTATAGTTCACAGAATCAATTATAACTGATGAAAATGCTCAATCTGTTCTATTTACTGCCGTCTATATCGCCATCTTTCCATCTGGTCGTGAACCCCTGCTCCACTTTCATCTTGTATGGAGGTGTTTCTTTGAATTGAGAATAAGAAAGAATCACTGAACAGGATATGATTTACTTATATGTGTATTATCATCTATACAAGCTCTGTTCAATTTCTTTTCATTTGTGTGTGTGTGTGTGTGTGTGTATTACTTTGTAAATAAACTGAGAGAAGCGAAGCGTAGACTTCCTACTTAATCAACATTTATCTCTTTATCATTACTGATATTCACCGTTGTCGTTATCTTCTTCCTGTTGTCCATCTTTACAACAACCTCTTGCCGTGTATTCATCATTGTCTTTATTAAGCCCCATCATCAACGTTATACTCATGTGTATACATCAACTTGCCTGCTATCTGGAATCGAAGTGAATCTATATTCCTGTTACTCAATTTGACATGTGTGTGGGGGGGGGGGGCGAAAGGCGCAGCGGGGGGTGGGGGAGGAAGGTGAACATTTGCTCTGCAAAATAACATTTCACCTCAACCAGTAGTAGCAGTAGTAGTAGAATAGATCTGTAATGTTATTCCACTGTTCACTCTTTGAGCTAAGTAATTCATCAAAATCGATCTTACTCTACTGTGGTAAGTGAAATGACATGGTTACTTTTTGTTGTTGTTGTTGTTGTTTTTTTCTTCCCTTGAATATTTCTTATGATTTATTTACACTTTTTTTTCTCTTCTCAGTCTATGAAACAGAGTTGGATTCAAACGAGAATTGTAACCATCGTGATCTATATTGAATTGTTGATTGATTTTACTATTTCTCTCTCTCCCGCTCTCTCTCTCTCTCTGTCTCTGTCTCTCTGCCTCGCTCTGTTAACATTTCCAAGATGCATAATTTCTTCTTCTGTATACATTCGATTTTATTTTTCTCTCTTTTGTTTATTCATTCCATGTGGATTTTTATGATAAAGTTATGTGTATGGATTACCGTGAAATAGGGGGGGGGGAGCGGGGGTATAACCTTCGCTGAGTAGTTATTGTGTTGATTACTAGTTAGCGATTGAATGATGAGTATTTGTGGGATGTGTTACTGTGAAACAAGTAGGGTTTTAATTAACTACACTGTTCATCTTGATTACTAGCAATGGAAGCTATAGGATTTGTCTTTCGACCTACTGAGGACTTGTCAGTTGGATGTAATTGTATCCCAGTCGATGATATTGTTCCCGCTGAGGTGCAGCTCTCTCGGCTCAGTAGTCCAGTGGATGACGAACGCTTTGGCATCTAAAGTGATGGATACATCCAGTTGACGAGTGGGTCCCTGCTCCACTACACTCTACTAGTCACTAACATGAATATCAAGGTGTCCGTATACAAGCCCATCTATCGATACACGTCGTATAAAGCAACGGGAGATTATGAGTAGTGAAATAACAATAGATTGTCGATTGATTGGTTGAAGCGGTAATGAAAAGGCGTGATCGGTGGAGCAGATTAAGTTTTATGTGAAGACAGTTACTTAACGAAGACATTACATGGAGAGATTGCATGATATCATGAAGTGAAATGAGAAAGTACGACAGTATGGAGTGTTGAATTGCAACTGGTAACCAAGTTGGTTAGCTTTGATAATGATGGATTGTCATTGATTTCATCATAGATTCCAGTTGTAAGCAAGTGATTGATATGGGTTATCTGATTGTGTATTAAAAATCGCGTGTACTGAACAGTAGTCCACTCTGTTCTAACTTTATGGCTATGAAACATGGCCATTGAAGGTGGAAGAGTTGAGAAGGCTTCAGGTGTTCGACCACTACCACCTTCGTACTATAGACGGTATTCCGTAGTGTTACCACGTGAGTAACGGAGACGTCAAGTGTAGAGTTTTTTAGGTAGAGAGAAGAGGTAAGTCAGTTGATACAGTTGTAAACCTTCATCGACTGCCTCGTCACGGAATATTGGCCAAAGTAAGTTCATGCTGGAAAAAGGCAGAAAGGGGCGGCCAGACTAAAACATGACATCAGTGTATGAAGTCTCTGATCCTTGGTTTGAGCCATGTGAGGGCGATGCAGACTAGTCGGTTTGGGGTCGGCGGGACAAGAGCAATCAACAATGGTTGGAGACTCTAGGTGATATGGCTCAGAACCGATGTCAGTAATGCCTGGTCCTATGTTGACTTGGTTGACGATAATATATGCCCTCATGAGACGGCATTGTCGACTAAATCCACTTCACTTATTATTCACAGAGTCATTATCAAGCAGACTGATAAACTGATTGTATTCTACTCATCTTGATGACTAGCTGATGAATGTATGATATGCATTTCGTCCAACCAAGAATCTGTTACGGAACATATTTGCAGACGAAGAAGGTGAAGATGGATAGGGCATACACCGAGAAGGCCGATTGGGGACATCACTCACCAAGCCAGGCCATCGAGTGGGATCCAAAGGGGAAACGACGAGTTGGGCGTCGAAGGCGAGGGTAACATGGAGGAGGTGGTGTGAGGAAGAAATGAAAGCTTGTGAGCAGTCATGGCACCAGGTTTTGAAGACTGCAGAGAAGAGAGTGCAATGGAGGTGTGCTACTGAAGCCCTAGTTTCCACAAGGAACCCAAGGGACAAATAATAATAATAATAGTAAAATCGAAAGGAAAGTGTACTAAATTAGGGGAGACTAAGCCTAATGGTATGGTATCCAGATATCTAATGTCTTATTGTACGTTAATGATGGATCGTGGCTAGCAGTGGAATCCAGGATGCGCATTCCGCCCTATTTAGGACTCTCTAGTCAGCTGGATGTACCTGCTTCCCGTGCGGGTCGATATTGTTCCCACCGGGATTCGGACTCTGAAGCGATCGCATTAAACGCCAGCGCGTTACCCACTGCACCACCAAGCCACGATAGCCAATTCTTGTGCGACGGGTGTAGTTTTTAGTATAAGGGTTTTTATATGATACCGTCGTTGATTGGACCAAATTGATCGGTCTCAATAAGCATATGGGCACGAGGTTCGAGTCGCAGTGGGAACAACATCACTGGAGTGCAGGTACATCCAGCTGACTAGTGAGTTCCAAATAGGACGAAATGCGCATCCTGGATTCTTCTACTAGCCACAACCAACCAATTTATTATAACTAACATTCAGGCAATATCGAGGTATCCACATAGGAGCCCATATGCCAATAGAGGTCGAACAATTCAATCCAACAAAACAACGGAGAATAACAAGTATGTCAATACATAGTAATAACTACTACCCATTGTATAAGAAGTGTCTATCGTTCTTCCGTGGCATAATGGCGTGTGAAGCGATGGGTACGAGGTTCGAGTCCCAGTGGGAATAACATCAGTGACTGGGGTGCAGATATATCCAGCTGACGAGTCCCAAACAGGGCGAAATATGCATGCTGGATTCCACTGCTAGCCACGATCCATCATTAACATAATTAGATTGTTGGCAATATCGAGGCATCCGCACAGTAGCACATATGCTAATAGAGACCGATCAATTCGGTTCAATCAACGACGATATCATATAAAAACCCTTATACTTTTATTGTTTGTATTTATTATAGTTGAACTATCTGACTATAGGGTCTCCAGTACATTAGAAATCAGTGATTGATTAACACTGTCGTCTATATATTAACATTACTAACAGTTGAGTAATTGTTTTATCAACTATTGTATCAATAAGGTGGTTTTTCATTGGAAAATCAATCAGCCATAATCATTATATGGTATAATATCTATCACTAAGAAGCGAAAGAGACAACAACTACTGAACAACTTCAATTCATCAATATACGACCAGAGATTACTGTGTAACAGTTCGAGTTGTTAAATCTTACTACATCAAGTAAACAAGGCAATGAAATAAAAGATGAAGGGAAGGAAGGAAGGAAGGAAAATTCAGTACTAAAAGAGAGATATGAAGAATGAGATTCGGTATGATGGTTTTCAGCCATATCATGTAGAGTCTCCAACCACTGTTGGTTTGTCTTGTTTCTCAGATCGTAAGCGGCTAGTCTGCATCGTCCCACATCGCTCAAACCAACGATCAGAGACTTCATACATTGATGACATGTTTTATTCTAGTCGCCTCGTGTCTTCAACCAAACATCTCAATCGATGAAGTTTCACAACCTTATCAACTATCTTACCTCTTAAATTCACATGGTGATATCACGGAATACGGTCTATGCTACAATGGCGGTGGTAGTC